TCGGTATCAATTCATTCCTATCATTTTTGATTACAGTGATGTCATCTTTCTTAGGAACTATATGAACCGGACTAACGTAATTACTATCTGAAATAGCATAAATCACACCAGCCTCCAGAAGTTTCATCTTCTCCTTCTTAACATCATCTTTTAGATTTGGGTTTAACCTCCTCTGATGTTTCACAGAAGTCATAAAAATATCTTCTAGATGTGTTCTATGCATGCAAAGATCTGGAGAAAATCTCTGGAATGTCATCAAGAGAATACCCTAGAGCTTTCCTATACATTCTAAGTTCACAAAGAAGCAAGGCATTCTTTACATTGTTCAATTCAGAGTTCACTATCACATAGTATGTCGAATTTGATCCTAGAAACGCGTACCTTAGCCCCCTGCATGAAGGGATTAAAGTTCCAGTTTTGGAGCTCGCAGTTTACTTCAAGGACCATCAATGGCACCATCGCGAGCAGATGCTCCAGAGTCTGGAGCAGGTGCTCCATCAGCGTTTTTTCCAATTGAGTTCTCATTTCCTTCCAAGCTCATGTATGCGACAAGCTTCTGCATCATCATGCTTGCATCCAGCATCCCTGCAAACCCATCGGCTTCTTCACTCAAAACCCAAATTCCCCTTCGGCTTTTGTCAGTGCCACTTCCAACGGATCAATGGCTAACACCTCCTCAGCTACCTCATCAGCAATGACTGAACCATCATTTATGACAAATATCTGCCCATCCAGCATTGGCTTCTTGAGGAGCTTGTTCATCTCAAACCTCACCATCATATCTCCCAGCTAGACCAGCTGTGCATAAGAAGGGAGCCCATGGAAGAGGTGCTGCTTTACCAATGAGATCAACTGAGGTTTGATCTCAAAATTTTTCCTCTGAATCGCCGGAGGGGCAATCACAGCTCTGTTTTGGCAGAAAGCATGCAGATTGTCCTTATCTCCAATGGCTTGTTGTGACTGTTCCCTGTCTATGATAAATGTATGCCCATCCAATATTGGCTTCTTCGGGAGCTTGTTCATCTCAAATCTCACCATCATATCTCCCACCACACCTCCTTTCACATCGATGATTCCACCAGGTGTGCATAAGAAGGATCGACCCAATATCAAAGGGTCCTTGGGTTCTTCATCAATTTCCAAAACCACAAAATCTGCTGGGATTAGTGTATCCCCTATATGAACATGTAGATCCTCAAGCATACAACCAGGAAATTTGGTTGACCTATCAGCGAACATCAGCGAGATCTTTGTCGGTTTGAACCTGGTATACCCCAGTCCCTTTTCTACAGAATATGGCATCAAGTTTACACTTGAACCCAGATCGCAGAGTGAACGTGCGAAAATCATGTTGCCAATCTTCACTGATAAAATAAATCTCCCAGGATCACTCCTCTTCTTCAGCACCTTATTCTGCAATACAGCACTGCACTCCTTCGAGACCATCATCACACTCTCTTCGCATCAATAGCTTTTCCAGACACTAGCCCTTTCATGTATCGCTTAAGAGCTGGTATCATCTGAACGATATCAACAAAGGGGAGTTTCACAGTGAAATCCCTCAGAATCTTCCTGCATTTTGCCTCCTCAAAGTCTTTGCGAGACTTCTTAGGTGTAACTAGGTAAGGCACCTTAGGTGTATAAACTCGTGCTGGAAGATTAGCTGGAGCCGTCGGCCGGAGCAGGTGCTCTGTCGAGGGTCTGGCGTGCTCCATCGTCTCTACTTCGTCATGAGCAGGTGCTCCGCGGTCTAGAGCAGGTGCACCATATAAAGAGGCATGCTTTATCGTCTTTTTTACGCCAGACGCTGGTGCTCCTCCTTGGAGCAGCTGCTCCACGACTTTCTCTTTTCTCTTCTCTGATTCAGCGGCAGGTGGTGTTGCAGATTGCAGAGTTTTTCCACTCCTCAGCTCAATTGCATTCACATACTCAGTCCTGAGATTCTCTCCTTCCCGGGAAGAGTTCCAGCTGGTCTCTTTATAGCCTAAGCAGTCTGAGCAACTTGGACATCCAGCTTCTTCACATAAATCTAAACTGCTTCATACTTGCCATTCAGATCATTGTACATGGTGTCCACCTTGGCATTAATTTCCATGGATGCCTTTTGCTATTCAGCAACAGCTGCTGCATCAAGTTTTTCAGCTCATCCTGCGAGCTGTTTGCAGAGCTCGAAGAAGGCTGCAGGTTTGTGAAGGGCAGTTTCTACTGATTCTCTCCTTGGAATCGGTTTTGGTTGGTGATGAACTGCTTTCCTTGAAATCTGTTAGAATAGTTTTTCAGAAATCCTGACTGATTCTGCACTCCTTGCTGCGGATAGACCTGATCCTGAAGGTTCTCAACATTGTTGCTTCTGTAAGATAGATTTGGGTGACTCCTAAAATTGTTGAAGTTGCAATTCTGCACATAACCTTGCCCCTTCACAAAGTTGACTTCCATCTGATCATCATCCTCTCCTTCTGCGAAATACTCGGTTAATTCGGGTTGGTTCTGGTTTTTTGTTCTAATTTTTATGCCTTATTGAGTTACTATCTGTTTATACTCACTACATTGGGTGTAAATGGTTGTTATTAAATAAATTACATAAACAAATATAAACGAAATAGAATTCAACAGAATAAGAATGATAGAAAATTTTTGTTAACTTTCTGGTGTTCCACTCGTTGATAGTGAAATTTTTTGAACTATCATAATCAGTATTATCTACTCGTTGCTATTAACGATCATAAAGGAACAACTTTAAAATTGTATTAACAAGCTTACTTTCTTTTTCAGCAAAATCAGTGAAACTGTTTCACGATATTTCACTTCAAATGGTGAAATTTTAGAAGAATGTCAAATTCCACTATTAGTTATTTCTTTAAATATAACCATATGATTCCTTTTTTGTTATCAAACTTGACATTTTTGAAATCAACCATAAACTACCTGAACTCGGTGGGGGAGGGGGAACCCAAACACCAAAAATTGCTCTCAGTTGCAGTAAATTATTCCATCAAAAACCAATATCTACAGAATATATGCAAATACATATATTTAACAAAGAGATACTTGAAATTTTATTCCACAACAAAAAGCATAATATCCTGATTTTTGGTTTATGACAATTCGTATGTTTTTTAAGTTTCTAGATCTTTTCAGAATATTCTAGAGACTAAATATTTTATTTACTCTTGTTCTCATTGTTATATTTCCTTTTAGTTAATCTCAGATCTTATTTCTTTTTTTTATTTTTCCTTTCATCTCCTTTTGCATAAAATTTCCTTAATTAATAGTGCATTAACTTATATACTTTGTTAATTATAATTTGACACGTACTATTATCGAATTAAATATTGAAACGTGTCATAATCATGTTGAGTTATAATTCATTAATTGTATTACAAGTGAACCTTGTTAAACCTTATATAACAAGATACGATACAATAACCACACAACTCAAGTAACAAATAAACACAACAAAAAAACTAAACAAAAAAAAAATCCTAATATCTCCGACCATGAATATCTTATCTTTGCCTGTCTTTTCAGATTAAATCCCAAATCTTTGGCAAAGATGCAATGCACTCGTAAATTTATGAAATCTCATATATCCGAAGATCCAGAATTCAAATCTGAATATCCTTTCCGGCTCAATTCCAGTCTGCTTCATATCTCCAGAGGTGGCTCCACGTTGGTGTGCTTCCACCCAGTGGATGATTCTAGGCTATTCCTAAACAACGATGTCTTAGAGAGGTCGTGCCAGATCCTTGGTTACTGTTTCGGCCTTCTCTTACTCTTGATTGATGGATGTTTCTGTTTCACCAACCCTCTCACGAAAATTTTTTTGATTCCTGAATCACTCTGAGTGGAGAAGAGCAAAATGCATTGGGTTCACGGTTGATCAAATCGATCAAACCACTCAGGAATTCAAAATCGAACGCATAATCGCACACCACACTTGAAATCGAAACAAAAATGTAGATTCTTGGTGTCAAGAACCACAATCATGTGCCTCTCAAGTAACCTCATGACGGAAATGAAACCTGTTTACTTGGAAAGCACACTTCACTGGTTGAGAAACGACAAAATTATCATAGCTTTCAATCCCAGAATCGAGCAAGCACGGTATATCATTCCGAGAAAACCCCACCTGGAACCGGTCACAAAACTCTTGTTCGGTGTCGGCGATAACTGCCTGACATTGATATCGGCAACCATGGAGATGATTTACGGTTTTACTCTTGAAAGTATCCACACCAATCCTAAATGGATCCTCACAAGACAGATCATGAACGAGGCTGTAAACGAAAGTATTATGTTGTCCTGGGACGTGAAGGCCTACGACGTCAAGTGTTTAGTGGTGAGGACGATGACTAATCTTACAGATCACCGAGTGGTTTATGGCTACGACTTGAAAGCGAATAAGTGGGGAATAGTGAGATCGATACCAAGGATGTGTGATGGATTGCAAGACTTTTTTCTGTATCAGCATCGTGGTTTTCTGCTATCGTAGTTCAAGATCAGGATGGGTCTATTGTGGGATTACTGAATCAGGATGGGCTCTTCACAATTGTTAAATCTGACCGCTTCTCCTCTGTAGAGGGTATTATGAGACTCATTAATCGTAATGTATGAGTCTAAATCCGTTTAATTTAACATGGGCTATATACTTTGATATTTGCAAGTCTGTTTTTGGTTGTTTTAAATTTGATTATGCTTCATCTGTCTGATACCTAAAATCATTTTTTTTGTGCTAGAGAAGAAACTTTGTTCAAACGTTTTTTGCACTATTTACACAAGCAATTAAAGAACAAATGTAGAATTGAAATCAATTTAAATACAATTTCGATCAAACTCTTTTTACACTATACACAAAGCAATGCTAGTACTTTAGAAAAGAAAAAAAGGCCATTCCCTCACACAGATACACAAACCTTATGATAGTGGAGAATCATCTCTGCTTTCATCGAATTAGACCTCACAGAGTCCTCAGAACAAATTTTCTGGTCGCATGAACACCCTTAATTAGCAGCTATCTTCAGCCCACCACGAGCTTTGTACAACCTGAAGAAGAACGAAAACCACCAAATAGCAGTTGAAATATTCATGTTTCAACATCTCAAGATCATTACTAGAAAATCAAACATACCCTCCAAAAGCGTGTTCCCAGATGAAGAATGTATAAAACATTTTCCCAGAATGCCATATATCCATTATCTGCCCTACCTTCCTCAGAGCACTAACTTCTTGGACCAAAACTATAAGTAGACAAAGTGAATACTAGGGTCAGAAACACATGCTCAAAGAAAGAAACTAGGAGACAAGTATACCTTAGCTTTGGGATTTGACATGATGCATTTTGCTATAAAGTGTGCAGCAGCATCCACGTAATGTTCCTCATTCACAACAATGTAATAGTCGTTATCGATTACGCTTTTCTCTTCGACATTGCTAGGGATCATTTCATCTGTGACCGAAACCCACCAACTTGGCTCTTCTTATTTTCTTCTTCTTCTTGTGGAAGTAAGGTTGCAATTTGTTCATTTACTTGTTCATTTATTTGCTAATTTATTTACATACCTTTCACTACAAGAAATATGTAGATTTACAACGAAATTTAACAACAATTTTATATCGTTGTAAATTCCCTTCGAATAAACGACGATTTAACGACGATTTTTGGACCACGAATTTGCAACGAATTACCGACGAATATATGTTCGTCGTTAAATCGTCGTTAACTTTACATCGAAGTTACGACGAATGTTTCCCGACGATTTTACGACGATTCCTTGTTTCTCGTTAATTAATGACGATTTTACGATGAATTAGCGGTTACGACGATCAATATACGACGAATTCGGATTCGTCGTTAAATCGTTGCAAACCCTCTTTCACAAGGATTTAACGACGATTATGGTCGTTGTTAAACAGGTGATTTCTTGTAGTGTTTGTTTATATAACATAGTCAATGCATATATAAGATTGCAATTTGTTCATTTACTTGCTAATTTATTTACATACCTTTGTTTATATAGTATTATCAATACATATATAAAGTTGCAATCTGTTCATTTACTTGCTAATTTATTTATATAGCTTTATTTCCGTAATATAGTCAATGCAACGTTGCAATTTCATTTAGTTGCAAATTTATTTACATACTTTTATTTACATAGTATAGTTAATGCATATTTTTTTACTACAAAAAATTTCATTGCTTTTTTGGAAAATAATTATTATATAAACATATATTTACGCCATATAGTGAAAAAATACAACAAAAGAAGTGATTATGACGATGCTTTCTATACACAAGTCTTATTCGCTAACAGATCGAAATCTGTTATTTACTTCTCTGTATTCAATCTGAATCTGATGTGAATCATGTGCGTAGGTAACATTTCTTGGCTAAACTTTTGAATTGTACACTATATAACAAAGTCCGATGTTTCCAACAATAGATTTGGAATTTCGACAATCTGATACTAACGCTTCCGTATCAGAGTCATTTTGAAATATTTAGACTTTAGTTTTCTTTCATTTGAAATCAACTTATCACATCTTTTGGTAGTGAAGTCATCCTCAGCATATTGGTTCCATAGTGGTTTCCTTTGGAGTCATCGTTTCCACAACAAATCTGTTATGATTTGTACATCATACGATCACGATGACTACAGGAACTATCCAGAGTAACTGTAGAAGTTAGGATGGACAAAAACTAGTGAACAACACCAGACCACCAGTGGTATATTTGTAGGAATTTACACTTCAGTTAGACAAATAATAATACATCCAAATGTGACTTAACAATTAAAGTCACCACCGGACAAATGCAGATAATTTGTTTTTTAAAATAACAATGAGGAAGACTTACGGTTACTGCCAAACTACAGCAAAGACATCTTTGTCAAAGGACCATGATTGATGACGAAAAGTTGCATATGCACTCACCCATCTCTTTCAAATCCGTTAATTTCAGAAGATTTATAACCTAAAGAAAATAAAAGAAAGGGTGTGACCAATAAGGCATCATATATAAAGTTGCAATTTGCTGATTTAGTTGCTAAACCAAAAAAAAAAAAATTAAATGATTTAGTTGCTCTTAACGATCATAGAAGATAAACTTAAAAATTTTGTTAACAAGCTTATTTTTTTCAATGAAACTTTTTCACTATATTTCACTTCAAATGGTTAAATTTTAAAAGAATGTCAAATTCCACTATTGTTATTCCTTTAATATAACCATATGAATCTTTTATAAAAAAAAAGAAACTTGACATTTTGAAACCAACCATAAGCTACCTAAATTAGGTGGGGGAAAACTCAACACTAAAAACTGCTCTCAGTTGAAGTAAATTATTCCATAAAAACCACAATCCACAAAGTATATGCAAATACATATTTTAACAAAGAGAAACTTGAAATTTTATTTAACAACAAAAATGTAGCATCCTTATCTTCGGTTTCTGAAAATCTGTACGATTCTTTTTCGGTTTAAGTTGATTTTTAGATTTTTTTGGAATGTTCCAGAGACCAAATATTTTATTTTCTTTTGTTTTCATATAAAAATATTATATTTTCTTTTAGTTAATCTCAAATAATTCTTTTTTACTTTTCCTTTTTCTTATAGAAGAATAATTCTTCTCTTCCTTTTTAAGTCTTATGTTTTCCTATAAATATCTCTCTTATTTTCTCATTCTCTTCTCATTAGCAACCCTAAGCTCCCTCTTTCTCTCTAGTCTGCATCTCTCTCTCCTCTGCTTATTTTCTCTCTTCTTGCTGCAAAAAGCCTAAACTCTAAAACGATGATTTCTCCTCGTTCCTGTCTGCTTCGAAGACCGTCTCTGTCCAATGATGAGAATCTATCCTCTATTCTCCCTTGTTGTCATGCTGGACTAGTAAGAGAGGAGATAAAATCTAGGCTACAAAACCTCATCGGTATCAGAGAAGATGTTTCTCTCACCACCTCTGTGATCTATACTGCTCTTTCCCAGATGTTCCCATCTTCCTGATAACACCGTATTTGTATCCATTTTCACTATTGATGTAAAATAATTTTTCAAAGGTTTTAACTTGTTTTAGGAGTTTTTTATTACAAATTTTCTATATTTGTAGTTTCTAGACTATTTTTAGGAAACTTAGAGAAAAATATTGAAAAATGGAGGAAATCCACATTTTTAGCTCAGAGTTAAACTGTCAGAAGTTCAGTCTCAACTGAAGACCTTCTCACCGTCTGATAACTGATCAAATTTGAATACATTCAAGAGGACCCAGCTGACTTTCTATACATGAAGATCAAGTTGTTCCATCAACTAGCCCGAAACTTCAGCTGACCCGCAGCAAACCACCTTCTGTCTGCGCCCCACACTTCTTATCCGTGATAAACCATCATTCTACCAGTCCCAGAGAACTCTCACCCGCGGTTCAAACTCGGCCCCTAGGCCCAACACCAAGCCCATTTCGTTATTTTTTTCAGAGAAGCCCTAAAGAAGACCTAGAAGACCTTAGGACCTATAAATACATTTCTTAGCAGCCTTAATTCGGGTGTGTGCTCCTAAAATGAGTTTTTAAGCCACCAAACTTTGTTTCTTAGCGTTTAGGCGAATGAGAGAGGGATATTTCCCTTGAACCTTTGACCTATCTCCTTTTTAAGTATCTATTTTTTCTATTTCAGTTTATGCATCTTTCATTTATGTTTATCTTTTCCTGCATAGTTTAGTAGTTGAGTTTTTAAGGATCCATCAAAGGATCTATATGTACGATTAGGATTACTAATTTTTCTTAACCATATTCTAGATGTCATCTCTTTTAAGTTTAATTTATAATGCATGAGGTTAGAACTCAAATCCGTTTCTGTTTAATGTGTGTAACTATGGTTTTTTGGGCTACTTAGCTCAGAAAATAGAAAACTATGAGCTTGGCTCTGCATCTTTTTTTCTCATGCTTTCAATAGAAAAATTTGGTCAAAAAAATAAATGTTGTGCAAAGAGCAAGCACGACTGCCTAATTTTTATATATTTTTTTTAATAAACCTCACCTTAACTAATAACAAAAATAAAAAAAATTTAAAATAACCAACGTTTGCAAAAAATTTAGGCATACTAATAAATCAAAAGCTCAGCATTTTATTTATATGTATTATATATATATATATATATATACTTTCTATCTGTTTAATAGACTGACATATTTTTTAAAACTAATGTTTGACCCCAATAAATTTGCATTCAAACTTTCAAATTATGGTAATATATATCAAATTTGTTTATTACATCCCATATAAAAATTATTGTTAACTCCGCCATTAGTTTTAGTTATTTTGGTTAATCTTCAACAATATTCATTTTTCACCATTTTTTTTGGCATGAACTTTCATTACTTAATTAATTTAATACATAAACTTATTTACTTTCAAATTATGGTAATATATATCAAACTTCTTTATTATGACCCCAATAAAATTTACTGCTAGCTCCGCCTCTAGTTTTAGTTATTTTCTTAATGCTCAATGGTATCCACATTTAACGATTTTCATCTGCTTTTGCATAAAATTTCCATAATTAATAGTGCATTAACTTATATACTTTGTTAATTATAATTTGACACGTACTATTATCGAATTAAATATTGAAACTGAATATTCATAAATCGCATCATTTAGTGTACATATTCGTCCAAATCATGTCTTATTTGCATATATTTTAGGTCTTTAGGCATTGTTTTAGGTCTTAGGAGATTGCATTAGGTCCAAGAGAGTTTTGCATGTTTTGGAGTGTTATTCAGGTGCTTTTGGAGCTTATTTGGAGTGGAGAATGAGTTGAAATCATCAAAAATGGTGTAGAGGAGAAATTCTGAGGTTTTTCGGCGAAATGCTGTCTGATGGTCGAAAATTCTCGGCTAAAATCCTTCCTGCGGGTAGATCTCTCCGCCAAAATCACGTACCGGCGGTTAAGTTTCTCAGCCAAAAATCTCGAGTGCAGACGCATCTCCGAAATCACGTTACCGGAAGGTCTTTCCGTCCGATTCAGCTATTGGGGTCTTCATGTAAGTTGGAGATAATTGAGTCAAGAACCCAGAACAGTTCGATTCAGGGCATTTTAAGCACTGACCTGAAAGATATGGCCACCGGAAGACGAACATATCTCGCACTCATTCCGGAGAAACCCGATACGCCTCAAAAACGGCGTTACTGGGAAGCTTTCCCTTCCGATATGACTTACGGGGTCTTCATAAAAGTTTTATAGCAATGCGTCTTGTTTCCAGAACGCTTGGATTCATTGGATTTGGAGTAGTGAGCAGGGAGTTAAGCTCACCGGAAGACACACCTGTCTCGTCGGTACTTTTAGACCGACTCGATGAGCTCCAAAGATTACGAGGGACGATGCACTTCCAGACAGATTCAGTTTACAGGGCCTTCATCAAGATTTGAGATATTTGGGTTCTCTTTCCATAACGTTTG